GAACAGATTAACATACGAACCACTTGTGTTCAGTTTAATTAGTACAGAACATTTAAGATGATTCAGTGCTAACGTGTAAAATAAACTGAACTAATGTTCAATTAACATGTCCTATACTGAATTAATTAAACACAGGACAAACTGTAACTGTATCCAATCAGTCACAAAACTATGAACTTCATTCACTTCACTATGAACATCAGAATCTGTTGATCTAGTTGTCAAACAATAATAAAATACTACAAGATGTTGGAATCTGTATTCAAAAATATATTACTCAATAGTTTCCAATCATCAGTATTTTCAAAATGATCTTGGTATGAAACTTTTGATGAAAGCTCACCGGGTTGGCGCGAATGCTGATGGCTTATAGTGTTTCAAAAAGCCATAAACACAAATTAAAAATGAATGTTAGGCGTGAAAGTAAAAGAGGTTGACTTCGCCGAAATGAGATGAAAAGCTGAATGGAAAGTGTCGCAGGCACACAGTGAGAAATGTTGTTGTTAGTCATTTCCAAACATGATGTTTTGTTCAAATATTAATGAGATGTGGCCATAACTGTGTGCCGATGATAACGTAAACAGTGAGTCACTCTGAGAAGAAGCACAGCTACTGAATTATATTCACAATTTAGGTCAAACTGATTGAAAAACTTTAGAACTGGGTACTTATAATAAACATACTTTATGTTTTTAGTCTAATATTGCACAAATATCTGGCAATAAATTCTTGGAAACTTTTTGCTGAAGCTTAAACTAGAAAAGGCAACAGGCTCAATAAGTTCCAGAATTCAGTAGCTTATGAAGTAAATAGCGACACAAGTTGTCTCTTTGGCTCCTTGTTAGTTTGATAAAAAGGCCTACAACCAAAAAAAAGGCTATATAATTGACATGCCGATTCCTCCCCAAAAATACATTTATTTTCACCTTCAAAACTGATAAAAGAAGCTACAGTGAACTTCAGTTGGTATCACCAAACATACTCTTAATTTCTTTCCCTTCCTTTATTTTCCTGTACGTATAATATTTATCTATAGAAATGTATAGTTCTGTTATTCAAATATTAAACTATTTAGTCCGGCTGTTTTATTTTCTTATGTAACACTGAGCAGTTCTGAGCTTCTATGTGTCTTCTGATAATGAATCAAATGAAATAAACTGTTTAGAGATCACAACTCAAAAGGTTTGAGCATGAGTAAGCTAGAGGTCAGAGAGGTCAAAAGGCTTAGAGTGAAAAAAAAACTGAATGTTTTTAAAATCCTACCAACCTGTAGTTTTTTCAGCTGCTTGTTGACAGTGGTGAGGTCCTGTCCCTGGTCCACGTAAACCAGTTGACCTTCCAGCTGTCCCAGTCTCTGGTCCAGGCTTTCGTAGCTCTGCACCAGCAGGTCTGCCTTGTTGGCCTCGAAGAGCTGACGGGCTTTGGCCTGAGTGGTGCTCTCCAGATCCTGCCAGCACTCCCTGATTTCCCCCAACTTCTTCCGGACCACAGGGCTGAGCTCCGGCTTCTCCTGGATCAGCTGCTGGCCCTCCTGGAAGGACCGGAAGAAGGAGGAATACAGAAGGTGTAGGTGTTTTAATAAGAAGGGATCATTAAAGGCAATAATGCACGGACCAAAAAAGCATGTCCACTTCAGGTAAATACTGAAAACAAAACCCAACAAAGCTACCAAATGTCACGCCATAATCACCATGCTATATTAAACACAACCTGTTATGATTAAAAGGTCATTAAGTAAGATAACTACCACCTTAATCAGTGAATCTTCACAGCACCTGGGAAGTATTAACAATCACAATCTTTAAGCATATCAGTTTCATGTTAATCACTTTTTCCTCATCACTATGCAAATTTATGCCAAAAGATGCTCCAAAATCTAAGCAGATCTTTTGCTCTGATAACACGAGCTCGTGAGATTTAGGCCAGAAGAGTGAATATGTGTCTATGAGTATATTCCAATAAGAAGTAATATTTCAATGCTGACTGTACAATCAAAGGACAGAATAAATAAAAACTATAGAGGATATAAAATGGACTAGTTAAGTTAGGAAAAGAAAGTTAAAATGACACCATGTGTTGCAAATACAGGGATGGAATTTATATAATTATCAATTATTGTTGTTTTTTCTAGTTATAATCTGTTTTATTGACAATAAAAACTGTCTGACCAATAATGAAAAAACCCAATGTTTGTTTACATGCAAAAAAGTCATTATTAGTATAAGTAGTATTAGTATACAGTATAACTAATCAGTTAATCTGATGCGATGAAGATAAGACACTAAAATGTAGAGCTGCAACGATTAGTTGATTCATTTATTAGTTATTAACCCAAAAATTAATTGGCAACTATGTTTTTTACTATAATAATATTATTATTGGTAAAAATACCACCAATTGTTTTGTATTCAACCTTTTTACTGATAAAAACAAAATACAAACAACAAAAATTGGAGGAAAAAAGAGAAGTGTAACGCTCAAAAACATTGTACAAAGAAGGCTCCTTTAAAGTGACCATGACAGAAAACAAGACAATATACAAGACATAATATAACACATTAATTATAAAATACATCAGTTTGAAACTATGTTAGAATGTAAAATAAAATTAGGTCCAGGTGGAAGTAAAACAGCCATCAGGTCAGTTTAGTTATACATTTCCAGAACTCTGCAATCATTGGGCCGTATTATATGTAAACAATATTATTTGTAATTTAGCATTTCTGGCACACAGGTAAGATATTATTTTTTTTTTTTCACATTAACAAACAATATTAGCAGCCATTTTAATAATCAATAAATGATAAGTAATTTGTTTAGAATATTTTGGGTTTTAAACTGTTGATTGCACAAATTAATAAGTTTGAAGACATCAATGTAGTCTCTGGTAAACCTTGAGAGGTGTGTTCCACAATTTGCTGTTTTATAGACCAATCAATGAATCAAGAAAATAACTGGTAGAATAATCAGTAATTAAAATAATTATTAGTTGCAGCCCTACTGAAATGTATCATCTCAATCTAATCATGACCAGTTGAGGTCAAAATATAAAGGAGCCATAAATCCAGTGTTCTGGCTTTCTTTTCTCCATCACATCCACAAATATTCACTGGATTTTATGTCGGCATAATAATGTGCAGACACTGTGGAACTGGGTTAGGAGGTGTGTGTGTGTG